CTATAGCATTCAAATTCCACACGCGTTTAACTTAGTGTGTAACATAGCAATGTTATACATGACTAAGTTATATGTATCATTACCAGTAATTACATTGCATCCGGTAAATTCATCAAGAATGATTGAGTTAACTGTTTTTATATTTTAAAAGAGACAGGGTTATTTCCCGACCAGGGTTTTAATAAGACTTCGTTTTACAAAGATACGAGTGACTAGAGTCAATTCTATAAACAGTTGTATTTTAATATGCTTGTTATTAATTAATTGTATTTGACTAAGTTTATAAAAATCAGTTTTAGTGTTGGAAGTTAATTTGATAAACATTATTCTCAACTTCACTAGCACCTTGAGTTGTGTTCACAGTGTGTACGCTACTTTACATTAAGTGCGTGGTATATTTATTGCAAGCTATGTTTCAAGTAAGCATAAATTGTAAGTCGTCGCCGCAAAAGTTCCATTCGAGTGTTTCTGAGGAAATATTTTAAGTAAACTTTTGCCGCATAGAGTATTAACCATCAGAGACTATGTTATAATAAGATATGTAGACAGGCTTAAAACTCATTTCTTTACATTTAAAAATAACACGGTAAGCTTCACTGTTTGATCCAAAGATGACTCATGCGTTTAAACATAAAATAGAATAAACAGTTGTCAAACTGCACGATAAGGTTCAGTGAACTATATATATTTTTAGCAGCTAGGTTTTCCCCAATTCGTTAACGTACTATGATATGACTCGTTAAGTTTTAAAGATCGGATTTTCTGAATAATTTAATGAATCATTAAATTGTCCGCTTGGGTTTTACATTTTTTACTCATCTACTTGTATCTTTTTGCGAAATAAGTCATAAAATTCCATTTATACAGATATTCTATGATGATCATGGAATCACTGAGTGTATATGGAAACGGACGAAGTAAAAGTAACGTTCATAGCGTAACTTAAAGCTCAACGAACATCAAGTACATTGAGTTTAAAACTTTTAAACACGTTCCATGCTGTTATGATTTTTTTATATATAAATATGGACTCGCCAGACGCAGAGACTATGGCACTGAAAGTGTTAATAGTAATTTATTTCAAGGGCTTCCGTCGGAAGTGAACGTTTTTACTTAAGCCGTCTTAGCTTGTTTACCGGATTAAAGTATAAGACTATATTTAATAACTATTTCAATTGACATTACCAGAATTTTTGCATGCGACAATATTTCAATGCGAGAAATTATTTACAGTGTTAATAATGTAACGATTATAATCAAAACAAGTGAAATGTTGCACCATGCAACCTTTCACTTGTAGGAAATCATTCATTCTACACGCAAACGAAAGCGTCGCTAGTTTATGATATCCCTTAAATAAATTGTCGCAAGACCAATATGCGTCAAACACTTCTCTCCCAAGATTATTGATTTTCTATTAAGTTCAGCAACGCCCCCATTTAAGCTCGGAGGATAATCGCACCGCACTTAATTAGGAATATGAACCGCAAGAAAGTAATTCCCTTGACTTTATTCGCCCATAAGATATTAACTGTCAGATTTTGCCAAAATATTGCTTGGTAATAAAAAATTTATTAAATGTACAAAAGACGGCTCAGCCATCATCAATATAAGCACAGGATCGATCTTTTGCTTAAATTAATCAAGTAAATATTTTTTACTGTAAATGATGCCATGTGAAAAAGCTAATCCATAAGAATAAATCTTTGGAAACCCAAAGACAAAAGTCTTATTTTGTATTCATTATGGTCATAAGTGGGTCTTAAGTAACAAAGTTTGTAAATTAAGGTAATTACACCATCTTAACAAACACGGTGTCATTGTTCCACTTTAGATACGAACATGTTATGGTTCACGATTTTGTAAATTAATTACATTTACATTACCTGTAATGTAAGACTCGTTAAACTACATTTATGGACAAAAAAAAAGTCGACATTTCAGCAAATGCTAACCGCGTTTCGTGATTGATGGTACATACATATTTACTTCATAATTTAATATTTGACAGACTTAAAAAGTGATAAACTTTTCAAGTAAATTGTGACAACATGATGGTTATTTTCTGTTTTTGACCGACTTTTATATTATTTTATCGTTTACTCATAGTACCTGTCAAAATTATTTATAGAGACATTTTTGTTCTTTACAGATGAAAACGACTACTATTACACACCAGTGGAGAGAAGTTTTGCTCAAGTTCAACCGTCTCTATTTCCGAACACGAGACCTTCGTCATTTTTTGACCACGGAGATAGTTTTAAAGTTTCACCAGCTGCTCATCAATCATTATTTAATAATGGGCGCTTACCTAGTCCAGGATATAACCAGAATCCATCACCTTTCCAACTGCCCAGCGGAAGAAGCCAATCGGGCGCTCAGTATTACATCAATCAACCGGAGATTAGTACCTCCCAACGACAGAGGTTTAGGCCGTCGCTACCTTATAACTATCAGATCGTACATCCAGCATCAACTAAAAAACCAGACCTTCAGCAAATACATTCTGTAGCCTATCAAAATGATCCTACAAAGCAAGAGACATTTTTAGGTCAGATAACAATAAACAATCCTGACATTGATTACTTACAAAATAATAGATTTAAGACTTTGCCTTTCGATAGCAATAGCTTAAAAAGTAATGGACAAAGTGGTCATATCCCACGAGAAGAAGATATTGAAAACGACAACACCGATCTCTTTGATCAACATAGAGTTACAACATATAATCCAAACAGTTTCATAGCTAAAAACAAATTAAACGGCAATCCTAATAATTCACGATATTCACATTTCAATTCACCCGTAACGCCAAGTAAAGCAAGTATAACAGACATAGAAATTAACAAATATCTTGTAAGGAATCAATCTAAGGGATTGAAAAATATTCCACAGCACGATGCCTCTTCGACGGAATATAAATCACTTTTAGATATAGAACCATTACTGGAGGAGGATATTAGTGATATAAGTTCATTTAGAGAACTGTTGAAAAATAATCAAAAATCATTCGATGTCCAAGTGATTACAGCTAAAAATGAATCAGATGTCGACGACAGCAAAGCAGATGCAAGTTTCATGAGTCCTGATAATACGGTAAAGGATATTTTAAAGTCTTCTCATTCTGATAAGAATGTCACTACAACAGCTGGACCTGCCACTACTCCTAAACCATTAAGTGGCGAAGTTAATAATGGCGATGACAGCGAAGAATTAGACGGCAAAGAAGAATATTATGAATATTACGAAGAGTCAGAAAATACAGAAATAAAACCCACTACAACCTCAAAACCTATAGAGCCTGCAACTGACATATACGATGAATATGATGCTACTGAAGCAGACCCTGATAAATATAATGAAGATGAACAAGAAAAGGTAGTTGAAGAAGTATCGAGCAATGTAACAAATGCTTTTGACGTTCTTGTAATGAAAGCAAATAATACAATGGTGAAGGACGATAATTTTAAGGAATTTGTCGATACAACAGTAATAGATCAATCGGACCCGGAAACCAACAACTCCACTGCTCCAAATATTAAAGTATACTCTAGCGAAGAAATATCATCTATAGAAACACCATCTATTTTAGGTCAAGAAGTGGTTTCTGTAGTCACAACAAAAAGTGTAGTTAATGGAACCATATCTATCCCCGATGTGACTGTAACCCCTAGTATAGCAAGATCTTCAGAAATGACACCACTTGATAGCTCAAATGATGACCTTCCTCCTGTTACAACGGAAAATTGGATAGTTGTTGCATCAGTTCAAACCAGTCGTAGTGTTTCAGGGGCTCGCTTTTTACCTTTCCCTACTGTAGAACAAGAAGAAAAAAAACAAGTTCTTACGGATGAAAAAGATGACGAAGAAGGTATAACTAGCACTAACACTCAAGACCAAAGTAGCGTTGTTAATAGTTCATCATCTACTGAAAACATTAATGATAAGTTAGACAGCATTCAGTCTGAATTATCAAGTAGTCTGTTATCAGGAAATTTAAATAGCGATAACAAAAATATTGAACTAATAACAGAATCAACGACAGAGCAAATGAATACGACTGTAAAAAGTACAATATCTTCAACAACACCAACGTTACCTAATGTATTTACATTAAAAAGTACACAAGTTTCCTCTATAACCGAAAGGTCATCTCCTGATCCGTTGCCTGTGATGATCAAGAAATTTACACCACGCGTAACATCGTCTACTACACCAAAACCTAGAAAGAAGCCATCTTTAGTTACAATTATGGATGACCTAGCTGGATTTTTACCTCCTGGCTATAAACCTAAACTGTCGTTTAAAGATAAACGAACAAGTACTACTACGACCACCACTACAACTACTACAACTACCACTACTACTCCTATTCCTATTACTTTGCCTACATTAAAAATTCCCATTATAAATGGAACTCAAGGAAGATCTTCTGGAATAAATACTAAAAATAAAGTCATAATACTCGATGATAAATCTTTACTGCCCAAAGAATATCGACCAAAAGAAACTAAGCCCAATGATGATTTATTGAATAAGCTTAAGAAAGACGATATTAGTAAATTCCTACCACCAGGGTACAAACCTCCGGTTTCAGAAACGACACAACCTAAACAACTAGAAATATTAGACAAAGTCCAGAAAGTAGATATATCTGCTTTCTTGCCTAAAGGTTTTAATTTAAATAAAACAACTACAGCGTCTTCCACTGAGAAGCCTAAACCGAGCATTAAAATCCCTGCAAATGCTGTTCCTGTAGATATATCTGCACTTTTGCCATCCAATTATAAGCTAAATAAAACTGAAAGTGTTAAAAGTGAGGACTTGTTAAGTA